TTTTTAAAAAAAGTTGCACTTAGAGGGAGGAAGAGAAAGAAAGAGGGGGAAAAACTTCGCGCCCAGCTGCCGAGGGAGTGCCAAGCGAGCGGCGTGCCAGGGGAAAACACGGCGGCACGCTTGTGTGGCGAGGAATGCAACTCCACTCTCGCGCGCAGTTACGCGATGAGGAGCTGGGGGCTTCCTACCCATCTGTAGGGAGGAGATAATTTACAGTCGTACCCCTCCTCCTAGGCAGCACCAAACGATGCTGCATCCTCTGTTTACTTTTAAGCTCCGAGTCGGCTGCCGTACTTTCGCTCCCATGTCCAAGATCCTTGTTTTTGGAACTCACGTGAACAACTAAGGTTTCAGTCATCCACTGTTCGTTAATAATCGCAGCATTTACAACTCTGAAAAACCTCCTTTCTTAGAAAAATAGAGTCACGGACTTAAGAGGAGCTTTTCTGCGGCTTCATAAGTATGTCCAGGATTATAGCCTAGGGCTGCGACAGTGCACATCAGCTTCATTAAATTCCGTTAATATAGGGCTGGGATTGGGTTGTCAGGCGAATACAGTAAATGCACACAAGGGGGGCAATCCTAAACACGTTGCGTGGAATTAACACCCATAGAAAGGCAATCCGAGTACACAAAGTTCAGGACGGGAAGTAATCTATCAACCCTATTCCTTAGAAGGCCCTCTTGGACTTGCGTAATTTTACTTCCACACTCTGGCACTGAGGTCTGAAGTGTTGACGGGAAGGCAAAGCGGTGGAAGGAGGCATTTTGGTGCAACACATGTCCTGTTCCTGCTGCTGGCTGCAGAATAGAGATTGGCTTAGCTTTAATGACTGAGATTGGGCTTCGGTCTCCAAAGATGCAACAGCTGCTCACTGGCAGCTGTGCCGGACGATACCTATCCCCTCTCCAAGATAACGGAATAAACTAACTGCTGCTGAAGGTGGAGTGGAAATAATTCGTTCCGAGGTTTTTCGTCTCTCATGACGGGAGTCTCGTAGGAAACGTCAGATCCGCCTCTTCGGTTCTTCCCAATCTTAGTGAAACTAATAATAGATTAGTCAATCCGTGCTTCTTTTGCGGAGAAACGTAGTTAACGGCATGAATCCTTCGGGTATTTAAATCATCATTTGTAGGAGTGTCGCTGCCTCCTCCCTTTCACCTCTGTTCCTGAACTTTCGATCTTGTTTATACAGGGTGCTCTTTTATCCTTGAGCAAAGCCGTCTCCGCCACCGGCGCTCTGCGCTAGCTAAAGTTTGCCAGCGCCTTTGAAGGGAAGTCGTTGGGTGTTCTAACATGTTTGAGGAGCAGGTGGATCTATAGCGCTGGAGGGAGACAACAGAGGCTTCCCTTAAGATGCTTCTCTGCTCTTTAGTATGCAGAGAATACTATGGCTGCTTTCTCATCGAACCAAAAGAAGGCGAGCGAGTGGCACCATGACCCGAACGCCCCCCCCACTTTAACTTGGATGTAAATCCATTAATTTGAATAAATTAATACGTAACATTGAAATTAACGGGACTTATTGCCGAGTAAGTGAATTTAGGGGCGAAGCGGAAAATGTCTGTACCATTTTGTTAAACAGAATTAAATGTCCCTGGGGAAAAAACGATCTTCCAGCTCTGAAAATGAGGAGGAGGGAGGGAGGGAGGGAGGTCGCGGGCCCAAAGCGAGGGGAGGGGGAGAGGAGGGAGGGAGGGAGCCAGCCAGCCCGCCCGCCCAAGCGCGCCCCCGCCTCCGCATCGCCCAACTGGCAGTAGTATTTCCATAATGCAAAGTAGTGGTACCTTAAATAGCACCGAAAGGCTCGTGAGGCGGCGCTCACACGCGGTTCCACACGCCGCACTAAATGGTAAAGGCTGACTTTTTGGCAAAGTGTCCCTCCAGTAGTTCTGCGCCTAATTTGAAACAGACGGAGACGATGCGGAAAGACTCCCAAGCCAATTTCAGCTCCGGGTAACATACATGCAGCAAGACAGTTCCTTACTTTTCACCTAGACAAGGAGCATGAACGCAGGGAGGAAGCGGGGGGGAGGAAAGAGACTGTTCTGCGAAGAACTGCCCGCAAACCAGGTCCACCATCTACTAGTCCTTTGGTGATGCGGGACCCAATCGGCTAATCTGTCCCGCTTTGGGCTGAACAGAATGCTGAAATAATTGCTTTCCACCTAATATGATACCTGCTGAAAGTCTTACGGGGGAATTCCATCCAGGCTTACTCCGAAGTGGGGCCCTGCCGTGGTCAATAGGTTTGATACAGGCTTAGTAGAAATCAAAGGGACTTCAGATAAGTCATGCCTAACGTTGGGAACGAGTCTACCTACACTAAACATAACCATCCAGCGATGTAACCTGGTCCGTTGTGAAGATGTGCTGTAGCGGGGTAGCCTCACCTTCAGACATAACATACTTCTGTGTAGTGCATGTAAATTCTGTTGTGTTTAAAAAGCCGAACCAAGCCCCTTAAGCACGACATGGAGGTCTTCTTAAATTCCCCTCAGTTTAAGGAGAAAAAGTTAGGAAGATATTTTTAATGACTTGTAATTTTCTTGTGAAACGCAACTTGTTAATTTCTATACAGAACTGTAGAAAGAAAGAAAGAAAGAAAGAAAGAAAGAAAGAAAGAAAGAAAGAAAGAAAGAAAGAAAGAAAGAAAGAAAGAAAGAAAGAAAGAAAGAAAGAAAGAAAGAAAGAAATATTA